CAGTCAGGCAGCCCTTTCCCCTTTACCTCTGTTTCATGAACCTCTGGCATCTCTGCCTCTTCCAAAACCCATAAAAGAGGAAGATATGGCAGGTCTACCTCTTTATGGCAGAACATGGGGCCAAAGATAATTCCTCATGTCCCTCCTCTAGAGGTTCAGACCAAGGCTCATCATCATCCGCTTCTGACACCTGTGAAGAAGAATACTTCCTCACATCTGGAGCCACAAGGCAGCTCCTTCTGCATTACTGTAAATATTGCCTGACTAAAGCCATCTCTTCACTCAGCTTCCACATGCTTTGTATGGCTAGTTCCAGCTGGCTCTTTGACTCTGCAATCAAGCTCTTAAGGGGTGCAACCACTTCACACTTGGTTATTTTGACTTTCTGCTTGAATTTCTGCAATCAGCTATCCTGTTGTGTGTCTTTGGAGATCTGAGGGAACCGAATCTGAAAAACCTTCTTCATCTCCATTTGCCATTGTCTGAGCTGCTGCCCTTCAACATCATTTGAAGTCTGAGCAGAACACAATTTCCTTGTGAACTGTTTGTTTGTTTGTTTGTTTGTTTGTTTGTTTGTTTGTTTGTTTGTTTGTTTGGTGAATACAATTTTTCCAGACAACATTGTGGTTCGCCATTTTTTTCATTCAATTTTGTCTTTCATTTGGAAAATCTCTTGCTTGATGGTAAGACTCTCCAGCCATGAGCTGGCTCGGTTGTGACTGAAGACCCTCTACTCTGTCCTCTTCTGCTGGGTGTGCTGGACAAGCTGACCAGAGTTCAGTCAAGGAACTCGTCTCTTTTGCCTGCCCTTTTCCAGCTCTGCTTGGTGTGTGTAAGAACTACTCTAGTATTTCCTCAGTTATTTGCTCACTGCATTCAGACATTTCTACAATGCATGATTGCTCTCAGCCTGGCTGGATTGCAGTTGGCAGATCTCTCAAAGTCAGCGCTTTATTCTCTTGTCTCTTCATCTCATGCTTATAAGTCTGCAGGGCCTTGCTCTTCTCAATCAGACCGGTGCATTGTTGACAAAGTTTACAAGCAATTTGTTTGGCCAGGGGATCTATTAGTACTACCACCTCTCTCAGTACTCCTCGGAACCATAGAGTCTTATTTTCTGCTTCTCCCATTTCGGTACCTTTTTGGATATTTTATCTTTACCCTGTTTCAGTTTATCAGGAGAAACGACTGATCCTACTTCCTACGTTTCCTACATCTCCTCATGCTCTTAAAGGGGGGGCAGACTCTTTCCTACAGTAGCCTCAGGCACAGTCTTTTATTTCTTTTCTCTTTTTCTTTCCTTTAGAAGGAAATTCTTGAGCCTCGGGCATCGCCATCATCGGGTCCATACTCTGAACTTCTCTTGTTTCTGACTGCATTTTCTTTTCCCCATTTTCTTTCCTTGGTTTTCTGCTGGAGGGCATTTTCTTAAGCTTTAGACTAGATGTTATATTGGTTTGGATAGCTGGCAGTGGAGAAACATCAATACTACATGATGTTGCTGTGCTTTCTGTAACGTGCTTTTACTTCTGTTGCAACAATGCATTAGTCTCTGCTTTACCAACAGGGTTTAATTCATTGTCTACTGATTCAGGGTTGACTTGCAGCAGTTTAATCAGATCCCCCTATACATATATTTTTTGCTCTCCAAAAATAATTTGCACTGTTATCTTCAGCCCCTAGAGGGCACTGTACAATAAGACCACAATGCATTCTTCACCTTATTGGTACTCCCATAATATGTGACATGCATAAGTTCCATAATAGATATTTTTAAATAGGGCGAGATTCTGTACAGTAGATACACAGATGCAGCCATAAGGGAAACAATGTTGTTCCTTATTATTGTATTATGCAAAAAACAAAACCATTTCTTCTTTTATCCTCTCTACTAAGAGCTTTTCTACTAATGTCTAACACAGTTTACAGTTGTAAGAAAGGTTGCCATTTTGCCAGATGCTTTCAACAATGAAGCCTGTGTCCTTTACAAGATGACTGTAGTCAACAGTGTATTGTCTCAACTATGACTCGTGTTTGGATAAACTAATAAAAAACATGAAGTACGTGAAGGAGATAAATCTTTGAAACTGGCACCTTTGGAGATTCACTAATACTTACATTCACCTTATCTAGCAAAAAGGAAAAAGCATTTGTTGAATAGATCCTCTGAGCGCACTTCATCTAAGTCAATTACCAATATCCGAGCAATACATTTAACCATAACCTTTCAAATTATTGTAATCTTATGTTGTTAGCTACCAATCAGATTAGCAGAATAAAAATTCATGGCATTTGACCCAATACCATTATTAAAATAAAGAATTTTTTTTCAGTTCATTGACACCCTCTTCTTTATGTGCACCTAAGAACTATTGGCATGAAATTGTCTTTAAGCTACAGACTTGGTGAACTGAGTTTATATTGTGAATATGGTAAGTCACCCTGGATAAGGTGTCTGTTAGGCGTATAATGAAAATACCAATAGTGGGAGGTTCCTAGTTAACTCCATTGAAGAAAAAATATTCCACCTTGCTGCATACAAAAAACAGCACCATATGCCTACATACAGTATGCCTACATTTACTCATGACCAACATTTAAGACTTACATATAGAGCTGCATAATAGTACAATGTTGTTATATTATCCAAAGCAATTGGAGAAGTCTTCACAAAACAAAATCTATGTCAAGCTTGCCACTCAAACATGGGATACTATGGTGTTTACTGAATAGAATTACAAGTACAAAAACTACTTCAGGCACATGATCAGCTTTACTGTGGGAAACTCCCAAAACAGAGAAGGATTCTATTTCAGCATAAGGTTGAATTGACCATTTGTAAAGGGCTTGCATTTTTTGGATCATAAACATTTGACACTATTGTACTTATTCAGACTAAAGACTAATAAATTGCAGGCTTGATCTGAGTGTATCCTCTGTGGGACTTCAAACATGGAGAAATATTCGTAACAGCTTTAAATGTGCATTTCAATCATACATCAACGAGAAAACAACTATACTCTCTTCCAATCGTAGGTGGCTCTAACACTGTTAAATTAATTACCAGCAGGCATTTGCAACTCAAATTTCAGGTCAAGCACAATCCACAGCACATGCAGCCAGATCGACTGCCCAATGGAAACAGTATTTCAGAGATGAAACCGAAATTATCTTGAGGTACGTACTGCAGGACTCACCTCCTTTTTTATACTGTATATTCTTTTGTAGCGTTACACCGACCAAACATTTTATCATTTGCTAGAGAACTACTTAATCTGTTGAAACTGCATACAGGCTGGAGTGGCTGTCTGGTTAAGCTGCCACTTCAGAAACTGTCTCCTGCAATTTCCAGCAGCAATTGAAGGATTGTATAACAACCATTGCAATCAGTGTATCATTGGAATTCAAGTACTGTATTTCCTAACTTCCTATTAATACAGAAAAAATAATGATGTGTATAATTTCATATGATAGATTTCCTGTTTATGTCCCTGCAGTATGTATTTGCTTGTACTGTACTGTATGTAAATAGTAACCTTTCCCTGTTGCAGATGTACTGTAAATATGCCTTATCTTTATTACCATATACCATTTTCTAACCACTTCATCCAATTCAGGGTAGTGGGGGACCTGGAGCCTATGTCTCCAAGGAAGACAATGGGATGCCAATCCATCGCAAGGCACACACAAAACACAAATACACACACACTCACACCGGGGCCAATTTTCCCACAAGCCAAGCTTTTCAGGCTGTGTGAATAAACCAGAGCACCTTGAGGAAACCCACACAAGTAGAGGAAGAACATACAAACTCCGTGCAGATAGCACCCCAGGAATTGAATCCAGGGCCCCATATTTTTCAAAATGATCAAAACTGACTTCACCTAGGTAAAGCTAGTGTGGCAAATGGCAACTGCAGTGAAAACGGTCAAAAAAAACTTTAGTGTTAGTATGGACTTAAAATGTACTGTAGCTTTCCACGTGTTCTACCAATAAGGAAAAAAATAAGAGGTCCCACAACATATGATTTGATCCTGCAAACTAATTAGATCTTTAGAGTGATCGAATTTTAGAAGTGAGAAGTGTTTATAGGAAAGCGCATTCTACAGCTAAACTAAGACTGGTAGTAATTTGTTAACAAAAAAATAAAATAAAGTTTCTGATAGTTAAACAGGTTCAAAAACCGCCCCTTTTGCTAATAAAATAAAATGAACTGGAGGCGGCTTTCAATGGAATTTTGTGCGCACCAGAAATATAAACCTACATTAATACCAAACTCACAAGTCAACCGGTCATTTAAAAAGTACAAATTCAATACCCTCAGTTTCATTTTTAGAAAAGCTACGTTTACTATAACAACTACTAGTATATATTATCCCACCCGCTGCTGCTACGATCGCCTGAAGCCTGAGTGACGACTTCCGCCAGCGTATTTGCGTCATGACGCCCTGGCAGTGTGTGTCTGCGCTCGACGCCATGGCGTCTGGCTCTCATTGGCTCTGCAGATTGGGGCGGACGATTTGAAAGTGGCGGGCGGTTGAAGTCTATTATACAGGAGCGTACGGGATTTAGGGAATAAAGAATAACAATCTTTTTAGCAAAGGTATTCATTCCAGGTGCTTGTCTCTAGATGTTTCAGGAGAATCATTTTTGATGGTCTTTTTATGGACGGTCTGAAGAGTTTTCGGGAAGGGAACATCAAAGACCGGGCTGCGTTTTAAAAAAAGATCTCTTTTGGCAGGGCAAAGTTTAAAGTAGAGGAGGTAAGGTAAAACTCCGGAAAGGAAAGATGCTGGAATATCTATCAAATCGAACAGAATTTTAATGAACATATAGCTCTACATTTTAGACTGAAGTAACCTGGAAAAAAAAGATGTTTCGAAGCTTGAATAGTTTAAAGTTGATAGTTTGAGACGTGTTAAGGCGCAGGGTATAGAAACAAAAGAACATCACATCTGACATTTGTACTAATTTTTTTTGTGTAACTCGACAGTGCTTATTTTGTGGATCCGTATTTGCAGTAATGCTCTGTTGGGGAAGAAATAATAACTTTATAGGTTTTTTTTTCCACGCTTGTTTTTACCGTTTCCTTGTCACTGAGTCAGCTGAGATCTCAAAAGCACTAAGGCCTGCAGCGCCTGATTGCTTTTATGGGAAGACTATAGATATGCTTTTTTCTTCCTGTACGACAGAAAGCACGTAATGCATTTAAAATGCGTCTTAGAAAGACGATAATCTCACCATTGGATTACTAATCTAAAACGACTAATGACAACGAATCTAAAACAAGCTGCATCATTTGCTTGAATGTCTGGGGCATAAATACAGGCGTTTCCGCGTGAGGCCATTATTTGTTATGCAGCAGTGTAATGCATGGTCCTATCAAGTGTCTGTTATTAAACATCAGGTTTTACGCGTACAGTAGATATTATTTTACATTGCAATGAAATCTTAAAAAAAACTGTCTTCTAGTTGCAAATGTGTTAAGTGTTGTTCTGTTCCAGATGACTTCAGGTCCAGATGTACTTCTTTTGGGTAGTGTCAAAATGCCCTGCGTTTTACGCACCTTGTTCGCTTCTTCAATAGAGATATCATGTGCGCACGTTCTTTGAAAAAGACACGTTTTTCTTTTAATTCGTTAAAGCCACTTAAAGTGCCTTAATGAAAACTTTGCCATTATTATACCCGACCTTAATACTTTAGCCTTTAATCAGTGGAAGTAACCAGTTAGCCAGACGTTGAATGACATTTTGTAAATGTTTTAGTGTCTGGTGACACTGCTTTTCACCTTTCAGTCTGTGCAGTCACAGTTATTTCAAAATAAAGATTGTAAACTGAAGTAAAAATAACTTGTTCTTGTTGCTGCTCCACATGGGCTCCAGAATGACAAGAGAAGATGAGAAGGTCATCCTTGTGCGGGTGGCGCTGCGCTGTCGGCCGTTGGTTTCCAAGGAAATTAATGAGGGCTGCCAGTCCTGCCTCACCTTTGTGCCTGGAGAACCCCAGGTAGGTTTATGAATTAAAAATTCTAAAATATGTTTCAATATATCTAACTTGCACCTTGTGGAAAATTGACTGCCCCTCTGGTAAATGTCAAGTGGAGAGACAGTTGAGGTACTGTAAATGATTTAGGGTAGCGCTTATGACTCTTCAGAATACATTTGTACAGATTGTGGTTTTCTTCTAAAACATTGTTCATGATTTCCACTAGGGGAAAAAAATTGAGCTTTTGGTATTTGGTCAGGATGGTAATAAGAAAAAAACATGTTGATGCTGTAAGTTGACCTCCGCTGTAATAGGTGACACCCTTTTCTGGGGCCCAGAATTTCCAAAAGCCAATGCCTCTGGTGGAGTCTAAGCATACTGAACGACAATGGTTCCCAACATCTGTCTTGGGTGACAGCTGTCTGCTGTTTTTCTGTTCTAGTTGTGCTGTAAATCTCATTCAAACTGTTAAATGACAGAATGATCTGCATGCTTTTTAAACTTTTCTGCACTCAGGTTCAAAAGTACTGTACTGTACTCCAAAGATACTATTTCCAACAACTTAAGCATAAAAAAACCCATTAAGCAGTCTCTCCTCATCTCATTATTTCTAACCATCTGGCTTTTAATACATGACCAATGTATGATGTACATTCCCATATTGCAGGGGGGAATTGCAATGTATAGAACACCCACAATTAGCTTTTTTTTCTCCTGCAAATCTCCTGTTGGTTTCATTTCAGGTACTGCACCTGAATGAGGACAGTTCTGAAACTTGGAAATTGGTACAGAGTTATTGCCAAATCTAACTGATCTTAAAAGATCTCAGGCTAAAACCGGATGAGTGATCCACCAGAACTAAAGCTGGGCACCTCTGCCTCTGGAGTTGCCATCCTTCCAATTAAACCTTAAAAACAAAGTCCTAACATCTTGATTGTTCAAGATCCTTTGGCGCCCTTCATAAGAGAATGAACGTTAATTCCAGGTCATAGCTGAATCTCGCACATTGTCTTTTTGCACAAATTTCATACTTCAACTCTGGTTGAATTAAGAAATTTCTCATTTATAATAAGGTGCCATAGGTGCACCTTTCCCAGTGGCCACAACCAGGTCATTTTAAATTAGTTTTTTTATACATATCTAAATTTTTGCTCTTATTTCTTATTTATGTGCTTTTTTGCTCTGAAGTCTGAAAAACAAATTGTAGAAAAAGATGCAGCCATTGCAGCAAAATAATTTCGGGAAGTGGGAACGGTTATGCAGTGTTTACGATGTGGTACTATAAGCACTTATTCTTTCCTTCCTTTTTCATTTAGGTGATTGTTGGTAATGACAAGGCATTCACATATGACTATGTTTTTGACCCCGTTACGGAACAAGAAGAGGTCTTCAATGCTACCGTATCCCCTCTTTTGACTGGTCTGTTCAAAGGTAAATGGTTTTGTAGAAATGCCAGTAATGGTTTTGCTGTGCTACCGGAGCAAAGTATTAGGACACAGTGATAATAGAAATTATTCAACTGCATTCTTGTCATTTGTCTTATACAGTATAGAAAGCGTGGTTATTATTTTACTTACAATTGTTTTATTTTTTTACGCATTCTTAATATGCCAGGCAAAATGGTACTCTGTTGGAAGTTTAAAATGAAAAACATTATTAATAAATCCGTATTCCGTCCAGAGTAGGTTTTGAAAATTCCTTTATATCTGCACTGTGTGTGTAAACTAGCTTTAGAAATGTTGTGTGCTTTTGAGGGTATTTGTTGGTACCATTTGCGAGAGCCTTAAAAAAAAAAACTTATGTTCCCTTCAGGTTATAACGCCACAGTGCTGGCATATGGGCAGACAGGGTCTGGGAAGACTTTCTCCATGGGAGGCACATACACCTCAGCCCAGGAGAACGAGCCCACAGTGGGAGTCATACCAAGAGTCATCAAGAGGATCTTCCAGGAGAAGGAAAAGAGACAGGGCAGTGAGTTCGTCCTTAGTGTCTCCTACCTTGAGGTGAGATGGGCAATTGTCTGTCTTGTTCCTAAACCACATTTTTAAACACAGTGCCAGTTTAATTTGTATTTCAACAGTGTTTTCTGGATACGTAAATTGAATATCTCTAGATCAGACTAAGCACATTTTTTTTGTTTGCCAGATGCTGCCAGTTATTGATGAAAGACCTGTCATTACAATTGCCTTAAATCAACAAATACTTTGTTTTTAGTCACATGATCCTTGTATAACATTTGTGAACAATAAGACTTTTTTTATTCTGCCATTGGCTTTGAGGATGATGTCAGATGTTGATGGTAGCTGTACTTTATTTTTCTGTGGCTTGTGTCTATCTTGTCTGTTTGACCCCCTGACAGTCTTAAGGTCTTTATAGATTTGTTTAGTTATTTTGGAGATGTTACCTGTTTGTGAATTATGGGAATAATAATTCAACATTGCACAACATTGTTCTGCAACCCATAGTTATACAGGGTTCATAGGGAAAAGGAAATAATTTGCTCCTTACTTGTTCTGTTACTAATACATTGAGATCTTACAAAAACTGTATCAAAGCTGCAAAATGAAAGAACTTTGTGAGATGTATTGTGTTGCACTGTAAGATTATCTGCGATACTGTTATTAAGTGTTTTATCTCCTGGTATTTTAGATCTATAATGAGGAAATTCTGGACCTGCTTTGTAATTCCAAAGAAAAACCTACCATAAGCATCCGAGAGGATCCTAAAGAAGGAATAAAGGTGAACCCCTGCTTATGGAAGCTTATGCTTTTTAAGAAGTAACGCTAAAAATAAAAGTATTGTACTACAGTATGCGATTACTTTAGGTTTTCTTGTGTAGGTGTTAAGTCTTTGTCCCTTTTTATTTTGGGGTGTATGGAAGCTTTATGATCAGTGAATATCAGGAGTCAAAGCAGTGTTATAATACATCATGCTGTAAGTTTTTGGAGAAAACTGTTAACAGCATTTAGTAGCTATCTTACTAAATATATTTATCATTTTTGAAGAAAAGGGGGCTCTACATTGCCTGTGCATGTTACTAATTGATGCTGTTTTTCTTTTAAAAAAAGTGGCATCTTTGATTTTTCCATTCTTTAGATTGTGGGGCTAACAGAGAAGGAAGTTTTCAGTGCCCTGGAGATGGTGGGTTGTCTGGAGCACGGAAACGCTGCTCGCACGGTTGCCTCCACTGCCATGAACTCTGCTTCGTCTCGCTCCCACGCCATTTTCACCATCACTGTACATCAGCAGAAGAAATCGGACAAGTAAGGGAAAGAGATCATGGCCCTAGCTCAACATTTCATAAACGTTTAATAATTCCTAACACATATATAGTGCTTTTCTGGACACTCCACTCAAAGTGCTTTACAGGTAATGGGGACTCCCCTCCACCACCACCACCACCACCACCGATGTGCAGCATCCACCTGGATGATGCAACGGCAGCCATAGTGCGCCAGTGCGCTCACAACACATCAGTTCTCATTGGGGAGAACAGAATGATGAAGCCTATTCATAGATGGGGATTATTAAGGCCATCATTGGTAAAGGCCAGGGGGAAATTTAGCCAGGACTCCAGGGTAACCCCCCTCCTCGTTTCAAGAAATGCCCTGGCATTTTTAGAGTCAGGACCTCAGTTTTATCTCATCCGAAGGATGACGCCTTTTTACAGTATAATGTCCCCGTCACTATACTGGGGTATTAAGACCCACTCAGTCCACAGGATGAGCACCCCCCGCTGGCCCCACTAACACGTCTTCCAGCAGCAACCCTAGTTTTTCCCAGGGCTTCTCCCATCCAGGTACTGGCCAGGCTCACACCTGCTGAGCTTCAGTGGGTTATCAGTTGTGAGTTTCAGGGTGATATGGCTGCTGGCTTTTAAAAGTATCCATTCTTTTCTTTTTATCTAGTATGAGCTCAACATTATTCAGGAATAAAAATAATAATAGGTGAATGGTAATGTTATTCACAAGGTTGTGTTCTCCATTGTGGTAGAGCATTTTTTTTTGCCCTTTTTTTGTCTGATTTGGGAGCTCCAGAATCTTCCTAGGACCTAAGCTGATTTCATAAATTACTTTCCAGGCCAAAGATATTTTAGTTTTAGCTGTTTGGAAGTAATTTGAGTTTGGCAGTGATGGTATTTTTCTCTCTCACTCTTCTAGAAGTGATTCCATCACATCTAAGTTGCACCTGGTGGATTTGGCTGGCTCCGAGAGACAAAAGAAAACGAAAGCCGAAGGGGATCGCCTGAAGGAGGGTAGGTTTCTGTTTCAATGGGGGATTAAATGGAGAGCGCGGCTGAGAGATGGGTGTTCTTTAAGCACTCGATTGGCATTGCTTAATGGCGCTCTTTGTTTCAGGAATCAATATTAACCGGGGTTTGCTGTCATTGGGGAATGTGATCAGTGCCCTTGGAGATGAAAGTAAGAAGGGAAGCTTTGTCCCCTACAGAGACTCCAAGCTAACCCGGCTTTTACAGGGTAGGTGCCTATTTGCGATACTTTATTAAAATATATATATATAACTTAAACATTCCCTTTTGTAAAATTTATCATCATGTACTGAATTATTTTTTAAATATAGGAGTTGAAAACCTTATCTGTTTTACTCTTGAGTGTGGGATTGTACTGACTGTCCTATTACACTGACTGTACTTAAAGTATGCATTAAAATATAAAATTACTTTTTGGAGCACAGTTATACAGTTGTCCTGCTAAAGTAACTATTACTGAAGTAAAACTGTTTTCACAACGTTTTTGGGATTCCCCCCTCCTCCCCCCCACACACACACAAAAATGTGCCTCAATTGTGAAATTTCTAGACTCTTTGGGTGGAAATAGCCACACTCTGATGATAGCATGCGTGAGCCCAGCTGATTCGAATATGGAGGAGACGATAAACACCCTGCGGTATGCAGACCGTGCACGGAAGATCAAGAACAAGCCAATTGTCAATATTGATCCAAGAGCTGCTGAGCTGCAGCATCTTAAACAGCAGGTAGGAGCTCTGACTCCAGTATTGAGGTTACTGATTGAGTGCCCTTTAATCAGCACTTGGATAGCATGAATGTTTGCCGTTATAATTACTTTGCCTTTTACTGGATAAAAGAAATGGTATATTTCAAAGCAATATATGCATTGCATGACTCTGGACAAATAACCACATTACAGAGTCATTAGTAGACTTATGTTCCAATATGTAATTGTTATTGAAGAAAGAAAAATAAGTATTCTTAAATTTTAAGAATTTGATTCTTAAATTTCTGGAAGTTATTCCCCTCAGTTGAAGGTATAATTGAATGTTAAATGCTTTAACGTGTGACTGATCTTCCTTTAGGTCCAAGAACTGCAAGTGATGCTACTTCATGCACGTGGAGGAGTTGCACCAGTGCTTAGTGGGTAAGAATAATGGTTTCCAGTTGTGAGCATTCAAGAGTTTGTCCTAAAATGAATACTCGTTTGAGTTCTACCCTCACACCTCTTCCTGTAAACATATTGGAATTAGAGACATTACTGATGCCATCTTGATTTTCAAGGTACTTCTTTCCGTATTAGAATGACATTGCCTTCGCCTCTGCCAACAGTGGCATGTGTAACAACCATATTAAGCTTGTGTTCCAGCATATCTTTTATTTTCCTTTTAGATTATTCATAAAATGTCTATAATTGGGACTTTGGCACATCAGTAGGATTGATAGAATTCTGAAGTAAGAACACAGACTTTATGTAGTCAATAATTTCATATCTCCTATGTGCAGCTGTGAGCTCAGTGTCCCCTCTGTCCTTTCCCCACTTCCAGACCAGAACCAGCAGGGAACGTGAAAGAAATATTGGAGAAGAACCGCTGTTTGCAAGAAGAAAACAACAAACTGAGCCGAGAGCTGAGTGAGACCGTGGGGCAGACAGCTCAGATGTTTGAAAGAATCATTATGGTGAGGCATCTTCCAGTATTCCGCATTTTCACTGTAGTTATCAATATGGAACAAATACTGTCACATTTAAGATTTGAATTCTTCAGATATGCGGTGTGATGTATTTGTAGGAATGTGTGAATGTTTTGATAAAGATAACTCCTTACCATCAGAGCTGCAAATAAGAATCTGTCCAAGCAGCTTGGTGTAAAGAATCCCATGAAATGGTATTGCTTTAATTTCCCTAGGGAACAGGTAAGTCTTGAAGATATTTAAAGTAAAAGCTTTACTATTTTTTTGGCATGGGTAGTAGTTGGCAGATACTTAAAACTTGACTAACAGAAATGTCTGACTGTTTTCTTATTAATAATTCTAACCTTCCACACGACTGTACTTACATCTATACATACAACTTACTACAGTGTGGTGTCTAGTACTTTAATAAAACTAATTTAAAAGGCATTGCAGTTATGTAACCTAGAACTTCATATATCTTAATTACTAGTGTTGGTTTGTTTTTTAATTCTATTTGACCATAAAACTAGCCAAAGTATCTAGACATTAAGCACTGTGTCTAAGCTACTGATGCAGACACAGGATGCAAGCTGGAATTTTCCTGGATAGTAAAAAGTGGTTTTGTGTTGCCTAATAGAGAAAGGCCCCCTGGTTAGTAAATGGTTGGATAATAAAGCTTTTATTCTGCTCTTTATTCAGTAATCATGATAGTTGCCTGAGTCTCTTTTTACGTGTTTTGCACTATAATGAGGAGATGTTTAAATGTACAATTTTACTCTAATCTGTAAATCTACACATAAGTGCTATAGTAAATGTTGAAATACATCAATTGGTTAAAACTAGTTAATTGGCCATTTTGAATTATGTCAAGTATAATCACATGAAGTTTTTTTATGACCTGTCGCTTTCACGTACTTACAGTAAATGTTATATGGCTGCTGCTTTTATCCAAAGTAACTTACATTTACACCTGTTTATACAGCTGGGTACTTTACAGGAACTGTTTTTTCATATTGTGACGACCCAGACTTGCCTGGAATTTGAACCTGCGATTTTTGGTCCAGAACCGACCACTTCTTAACACTAATAGAAAATGTAACTTGAGAATCCTTTAGTTGTACTGTTGTGAGGAGTCCCGTGTGAACTAATTTGATTAATTGGGATTTAATTTAACTCTTTCCTATAGACGGAACATGCAAACGAGAAACTGCAAGCCAAGCTAGAGGAGCTTAGGCAGCATGCTGCGTAAGTATAGAGCCTAAGTCTGTTTGATCATCCCAGATACAGACCTTCAAGGGTGGATAATATGGAATTATGTATTAAAATCTCTGGAACACTGCGATGAGACTGGGAATTTGACAAGAATCTTATTTTTGCTTGCCTTGTTATCTAGTTTAGTTGGAATATTGATTTACATTGGTGTAATCAGATTAGATGCTAATGAGCACATAAGATTTACTTTACCTTATTTTATGTGAAATTGTATTATACTAACATAAGCTGCTTCTTTCTGCTTGTTTAAGTTGTAAAATTGACCTGCAGAGGGTAGTAGAAACCCTGGAGGATCAGGAACTCAAAGAGAATATTGAGGTGATTCGCAGTCTTCAGCAGGTCATTGCACAGCTGCAGGTAAGGGCAAATGTGGGAAGGTAAAATATGCATGACTTCATGTTTGCTCGAAATGAGGAAATAGCATTTTACATGTGAATCTATAATTAATGGACTAGACAAAAAAGCCTTTATCATCATTTTGAATCATTTTATTGGCAACTTTGTAGTAGATGCAAATCAAACTTCACACTGCTTTTTTGCAGCGAAAGCCTGTCAGTATCTGACATGAAATTAGCAGTATGTTGTAGCGCACTATAGCCCCTTTGATGATGATGTTAATTGTGCTTTAAAGAACTTTTAAATCCATAGTGCTATTGTGCTCAGAATTCTCAGCCCTGTTTATTTTTAAAGCAGTATTTCTGTGCTCTGCCTTCAGTTGTCTAGAAACCAGAATAACTCCGCTATGTCCTTTTGCAACTGAGCCTTAAAGGGATTCTCATAAATACAAAACCCATATGGCTACAAAGTTGTGCCATATTTTAGGTGCTTTAATTTTTTTTGTTCTGAAAAAGGCTGGAACAGATTGTATTCTTAAGTGTTGTGCATAAATGCTTTGTTTTTCCTTGCAGTACGAAAAAGGCATACAATATGTAAATTCTCAATTGATATATGTATATTTACATACATTTAAATAGATTTTCTATAAATCATAATGGTCCTGTCCAGAGAATCAGTATACTAAACTGTTTCACACCTTGCCCAGTTAATAGAGAGAACAACTCTCTCTGCTTGTGTGGGGTAATGTTTAAGTCTGCTCACAGGGCCTGCATGTTTTTCACTTTTGTCTTGCTTTGTGATATCTCACTAATAATGATGTTGGCGTCTTTCCAGGATGAAAGTGCCGGGATAGCAGCTTCAATTGAGGCTATTGCCACTCAGGAGTGTTCCTCCCCATCTGAAAATGAAAAACAAGGTCCTTCAGAAGAGGCTCAGAGCAAAAGTCCCACTGATTGCTCAACATCAGTGAGTACATCTATAGTCAGCAGCTCATTATAAGTTAAATTTGTTTGTGTTGTATTTTCTGCTTAATACTTAAGATAAAAGATTAACAGAATTTGTTTAAGTTGTGTTTTGTACATTTTTGAGTAGTACTACTGAACTAAATTTAAAACTTTTTTCAAAATTAAAAGGGCTATTGTTAAAATGTTAATAACAGGAAATAAATTATTGTGAAAACTGAGTGTTAAATTTATAGGTTTAGATCTATAAATCAATTACAGTGATTTGATTAGGTTTTCATTACAGGTTGTATTATGTAGTGGTTAAAATTTAAGATACCGTGATTCCTATTTAATTATCACTAAAGAACCTAGAACAAATTATTTCTATAAAGTTTAATTTGAAAGGGTTAATAGCCGCAGTTCCGGATGGTGACTTGGTCTTACTTAATCCTAAATCTCACTCTTGATTTGTCAGGTTGAGAGCTACTTAGATACCAACTCATTTGCTAACTTGTTGTACATTTGCTGAGATGTAAACTGCTTTCTTCACAACCCCTCCAAATTTTCTTAAACCTTTACTGATTTGTTTTGATTTTGTTGGATTTTTCCCATTATATGAATTTAAGATTCCTCTCGGCCTTTTGAACTTCTAGTAGACATGGGGAAGGGACACAACTTTACACTTCCCCTGTGGCTGATGTGATTGTTTCTAAAATCACCACAAGGGGTCTATTCTATTTCATTTCTCTCTGGCTTTCTTCTCTCTTCTGATATTAATCCTTTACAAGTTATCTTTAGTCCTGGTTTTTAATATGCAGCCTGAGGCCATGCTCTGCTTTTCTAAAATAATGTATATTATATTTTTAAATTGCTCTTGGAATGGTATGCAACACCCTTCTAACAGTTCCAGATAAAGATCACTCCTGCCCCTTTCTGTTACTTAAGCATGCATGGTGTACGCTCTACCTACATGCATATATTGAGTGTGTCCTGTGATTTGTCGTTTGGGTGTGTGTCATTAATGTAAGTTAGGTGTGACTGATAATCATTAATCTGAGAAGGAGCAGTGTAAGGCTTAGTGGCACAATTTTTAGGCATGAGGTTGTATGTACAGTGCAGCCAAAAACTTTTTTACAAGGCTGACTACAGACTGGGATGCACTTGGCTGCTTTCTTTCTGGACTTTGCTCTTACAGAAAGATTAGATTACATTTTTCTACTGCAAGAACTGACAGAGGGATAGGGTCACAAAACTAAGACAAACTTCAATTTTAACATTTTCCCAAGATGAAGGCTTAGGTTGGTTGTTCACGTTTGTTTGTCAACAATTTTTGCTTTTCATAGTGTCTAAGTCGTCATATTTAATTAATCATGTCACTGTAAACAGCATATTGGCATTTTCTGTGTTTTGAGTGAATTCTAAGGTACTGAAAAACTTAGTCTGGAATACTTTTCCAATTGGGTTGACATACATTTTCTCGCTTATTTGAACGTACTCAAACCATTTTTTTTTCCACTGTATTTTCAAATAAGGGCACTAAAAGGATAAAACAAAGTTATGTATTTCATAAAGAAATTGTCTGTAAAAGCTGCGTCTGCTTGTTTGTGTATCTTATTGTTTTTTGTAGACATCAAAGCAAATACATTTTATTCATTTTTGAATTTTCAGATCCAAAAAGCAGATGATAAACGTTCATCTGAAGCTTTCACAACCCAACATGCCCTGCGACAGGCACAGATGTCGAAGGAGTTGATTGAGCTGAACAAAGTGCTAGCTCTGAAGGAGGCCTTTGTCAAGAAAATGTGCCAGAATGACAGCCACCTGGAGCCTATCCAGACCGAATACCAGGTAGGAACCTAGCATGGTGATGTCAGTCAATCAGAAAAATTGACTTTGACTTAACTGCTGTTAAGATCCAATGCTAGTGTGACAGCTGGGATTCACAAATATTAAAAATAAAACTTTTTTCATTATGAATGAAAATGAAAATAGCTCTGGGCAAAATTGTAATAACATAAATAATTAATGTTTGGGTGAATGCCAAATTAGTAGACAAGCCAATAGGGTTTATGCTAAGTGTACAGTTTCCTAGACCACATTTCAAATACTTCATCTATTTTGGTTCTGTTTGACAAAAAAAAGGTTACAAAGGCTTACAGAAAGTCCAGAAAAGAGCAACAACACTTATACCAAGGCTTAATGAGATGAGTTATGAGGATTGATTAAAGGGAACAGAATTAAATAATTTAAGATTAAAAGATGTCTAAGTAGATTGTTTTATTTTTTCTGCTTAGAATTTTGAAGACTTAAAACTATGTAATTTCAAGTTAAGTGAAGAAAACATAAGGAAAAAACTGGAAGCTTCACAATGCACTTGCTTCAGTTTTCAAATGCTGATTTTTTAAAAAAAATATATATATAGTTATCTATACATGGGATTAATGACCTTGAGGCACAGTGTTTTTGTGGAGGAGACTGATATTTAAAATTCTTAGTCTGTGGCAGGGGTTGGCAACCTCTCTGACTGGGTGTGCTAAAAGCGAACTTATTCATTTCTGTTTATGGATCTGTGTGGTATTGATGCATTGTTATATCAATAATAATCCTACATAGTTTAATTCAAAGTATGTAATATTAAAATATATAAAATTGAAACTTGAAGATCTACAGTATATCTTACCATTGAGTTTAATCCTTGCCATTGTATTTCACTGCTGAGTTCACCCTTAACTATGAGGTCCATAAGTCTGAGAATTGTAATTTAATTAGCTGCATTTCAAAATCCTTTACATCCATCAAACCTGTCAAATGTCACTGGTATAAAAAAAGTGGTTTAATCAGGCAGGAAACCATTGGGCCAAAACATTCTAAAGAATGTTCTTGCAACACTACAGTGCCTTGCGAAAGTATTCGGCCCCCTTGAACTTTTCAACCTTTTGCCACATTTCAGGCTTCAAACATAAAGATATAAATTTTTTATTTTATGTG